AGGAAGGGAATCAAGGCGGAGAGAGGGCTGGGGCGGAGCGCGGCCGGCAGGAATGTTGGCCCCCGCGTTCTCCCGCAGGCCACCAGACCGCGTGGCTGTGTCTAGACTCGAGCAGACGGTTTCTAATAAAGCCACGTGCAGCGAAGGTCTGAGAGCAAGGAGACCGCCTGGCGTTTAGTACGCGCTGGAAAATGTGCAGTATCCCAGGTATTTGGGGCCGGCGTTGCTGACAGTGTTCCTGTCCCCGTCCCCATGCTCCTCCGGCCATCGGGCGTGGATGGCTTTGGAAGTCGTCCCTGTTGAGAGGCTCCAGCAACACCGAATGAATGTGTCGTCTGGTGAGCAGCTGTGGATGGTGCAAAATGATACAATGAAAAGAACTATTATTAACTGAGTATTTGTTGGCAGGCACTCTGCAAAATGCCTTATATGTGCAGCCGTGGGTGTTATTCTCGGCTTTATTGATGAGAAAACAGGCTTTGATGATTTAAGACACTGCTTGAGGTCACACAATAGTAACTTGCACAGCTGGAGTACAAACCACTCCAAGATATATTCTCAACTGGTACACAGGATGCACCCAGGGATCTTGTCAAAATGCAGATTCTGATTCCCTCCGTCTGGGGTGGGCCTGAGGATCTGCATTTCCAACAAGCTCACAGGTGACGCCCATGCTGCTGGCCAAGGGACCAAACTTTGTAAATTTCTTTCATCCCAGCTCTAGTTGATTGATGGCAACTTCCTGAAGGTGGGTTGAGAAGGATTCTACAGCTGTGTCTTGGCTCTTGGGTGAAGGCTTCTGCAACCAATTAGCCATGTTTACTTTGGTGAATGGAGGGAAGGCTGTGACAAATGTGCTGGATGGCCATCCCTGCAGTAGGCCACTTGGAAAACAGCATGTTTGTTACAGGAGTGGTTATAGTGCAATGTTTAAGGTATTGGCACACTAAGGACAAATGTCTTTATTTCAGTACTGTCATTAAGAAAACCTTAAGTCAAAGTTTTATACCTAACATTTGTATAACACAAAACACTTTACAAAGTGCTCACATGAATAATTGTGTCTGTCTTCATAACAACACTGTAAGACAGGTATAATTTCACTTTGCAGAAAAGGAAACTGAAGTAGAGTGATTTTCCTGAGATTACACAATTAATATGGATGTAGATAGGCCAGATCGCTAATTCAGGGCTGTTTTTACTCTACCACTGTATTAGTTTCCTACTGATGCTGTAACAAATTACCACAAATTTAGTGGCTTAACACAACATAAACTTATTATCTTACTGTTCTAGAGTTTCAAAGCCTGAAAATAGGTATTCTAGGACTATAATCGAAGTCAGCAAGACCATGCATTCCTTCTGGACGCTCTGAGGGGAGAATCTGTTTCTTCCTTATTTTTTCCCCCCCAGCTTCTAGAGGCAGCCTGCATTCCTTGGCTTGTGATCCCATCACTCTAACCTCTATTTCTATCATCTCCTCTCCTCTGACTCTGACCCTCCTACATTCCTCTTATAAAGGCCCTTGTGATTCCATTGGGTCAACCTGAATAGTCCAGAATAATCTCTCCATATCAAGACCCTTACCTGATTCCTCCATATTGAGACCCTTAACTTAATTACACCGGCAAAGGCCATGTAAGATAACACATCATAAGTCCCAGTGATGAGAATGTATATATTTTTGGAAGGTCATTATTATTTTCCCAAAACCTCACTAGTATTTATCCTGTAGTTTCTTCTATGCCTTACTCATCCTTCTCTTCTGCTTGATTTCTCAGGCTACTGGGAAGTTATTTCAATGGAAAAATTTACTTGAAAGTTATGCAAGAGACAACAAAAAATATACGCTGGCAAGAAATAGCCCCAAGGTCATGAAAAGGCCATTAAGACACATAGGATTATAGTCATGAAAAGGCCACCATAGGATTAGGAGCTGATTATTGGTACGAATGGCACTGAGGTAATCCTTAGGGGAAGTCCCAACCACAGTTAAATACATTTGTTAGCAATAAATAATTTTTTAAAATTTTGCTTTTCAAAGATTACCCTGTTCCATGATAAATAAGGCAATTCAAAATTCATGCAGAATTGAATATAACACCAAATTCCAGAGTGAGAGTCTTCAAAGTGATGATAAACTTAAACCAGTACGTCAAATAAAATCAATAACTATTATTAAACACCTTTTATGCTCAAGGTACCTATAGCCTCTGACATACAGAAGTTTATCGTTTCATTGGGGAGACAGAACTTATGAAAAATAAAATAATGAAGGTCTGAAATAGAAGAAACAATAGGAGAAGCAACATGGGATGGTACATGACTAATTGCCGAGTGAACGATATAAAGTGAAAACTTTATTTGGAAGTTAGTTTTATACGGGGGAATGGGGATAAAACTGGAAAGGTAGGTTGGAAAGTTGTGTTGTGAAGGACCTTAAATGGGAAGCTAAGAAATGTCAAGCTAAGGAGTTTAGGCTTAATCCTCAATAGTAATAATGATGATGCCTTATGTTCACATAGTGGTGAGTAATTTAACAAGCACTTTCTTTCTACATATTTGCAGTCATTTGACTTCCTTCCTTCTGCCGCCAGATAAGCAGGCAAGTGCATTCACATAGCATACACCACGTGGGGAAGGAGTATAAGCCACTTAAGGAGATTGCCTTGGCCACTCTGTAATAGAGCAGCTCTCCTCCCCAGTTACCTGCTATTCCTTCTGTCCTCCTTCCCCTGCTTTAAGTTTTTTCTACTGGATTTACTACTACCTCTTTATATGGTATATGTTTATTATATGTCCACTGCCTATGAGGGCAGGGACTTTATCTCTTTTTTCACTTTTATATGCCAATTGCCTAAAGCAGTGTCCAAAACTTGTTTAATGCTCAGTAAATATTTGTTGAATAAATCATTATCCATAATTTACAAATCAGGAACCAAAATACCAGATGTTTAAATGACTACCACTATGTTCCACAGCTGTTAAGTGCCTTTACCAAGACTAAATCCCAGTGCTGTGTGTGTGTTTTTTCTCGTAATCCTCACCCAAGGATATTTTTTTCCATTGCTTTTCAGAGAGAGTGGAAGGGAGAGACAGAGAGAGAAAAACGTCAATGTAAGAGAGACACATCGATTGGTTGCCTCCCACATGCACCAACTGGGCCCAGGGATGGAGCCTGCGACTGAGGTATATGACCTTGACTGGAATCGAACCCGATACCCTTCAGTCCACAGGCCAACGCTCTAAACAATGAGCCAAACTGGCTAGGTCTCAATGCTTTTTTGATGTGATGTTTCCTTTCTGAGTGAAGACTTGTTAGCAGTATTTAAACAAGGTTAGGAATATATTTCAAAAAGATAAGAATTTGAGACTAGGATCTTCTCTAAACGTTACATCTTCTCTGAAAACTTCATCAGTTTAGTGCATTGACAAGAAACATTGGCAGCATGGAGTTACCCATTGTAGATTCTGGAGGGCTGCCACCAGTTATACGTTAGTTGGCACTGAGTAATATTGTAAGTGTTTTTGTAATTGTTTTCTAGTTAATTTATGTGTGTATGTCTTGACATTCTGTATTATTGAATTTTTGGACTCAGAAACCATAACTTCTATTTCTTTGATATCTCTGCATTCTGCCCAGTACTGAACTCTAAATAGACTTCTCACGGCATGGTTAGAAGATGGCAACCATCTCTCCAAAAATCACATCCTTACTTACCACATTCAAGACAGTATAGGGAATGTGAAAATGCCACCTCAAAATATGTCACCTTGGTGTAGGATTATTTTGAGTTGAAGGCAAATGAGAATTAACAGATGCAGAAAGAAGCCT